GAGATTAAACCGCTCATCGAATGACGGCGAATTTTCGCGAGTAATGCAACCGTAACGAAGTATCCGGTCGCATCGAGACTCTTTGCATAAAATCAGCGCGCTAAATCTGTTTATAACGTGGACCCGTCCGAGGTATAACGAAAGAGCGGAAAGGCGATGGACCTCGAGGGAACGCGAGATCCAGGAATACCGGAAGATCCAGACTCCCTGGAGGACTTCGTCTTCATCCCCGCGGTACGTCAGGGAAACGTGTTGGTTATTTTTTCGTTCTCGAGCGAGGATTTCCCGCAAATCCCAGGATGCACCTTCCGGTACTCGGGGACCGTCCAGAAAGGACGAGGAACATTGAAGTCGAATATTCTACGAGGATTCCGCGGTTTCTCCTTCGGTTTATGTGCCTTTTTTTGCCTTCATTCGCCTTTATTTGCTTAAATTCGCCTTTCGTCCTCCGAAATCCAAGGGCAGCGTCCGTCTTCGAGAATAAACCACGTGGGCTGGAACGCTTCCGCAAAGGTTCTCGCAAAGGACTCGAGTAACCTTTAAGCCGGCGTCGGGTGTCCGGCGTCCACCGAATCGGATGGACGAAACGACGTTTTATCTCGGAGAAGGAATCGATCCATTGCTAGACCCATTCCGTCATTCCGTGTTCCCTTGCCCTCCAATGTCGGCAGGAACTTGACCTATAAAAGCGTTTACGACGTCGAGACGCCCGACGTACACGCGATCCGACGATTCGGCGAACTTACTCGCTTCGATTGTCTCGCGGCCCTTTCTCGACTGCGAATTTGCTCGCCTCGATCATCTCGCGTCCCTCTCGCGATCGCGAGTTCGCCCATTTGTCAGCGATCGATGGAGAACCTCCGACTCGCCGCGGAACGGTGCTCCGGACCTCTCTCGCGTAAAATAAAGACGTTCGAAAGATCGAACGATTCACTTAACCGTCTCGTAAACTTGGCGTTTACAGCCATCGGGGTCGCCATAAATCCGTCTTTCGGGCGACCGCCATGGCGGAAGAAAATTTCATACCCTTCTTCCGGAGCCGCGGCGAGCCCGACGGCAGCGATTGCCTCTCGCCGCACCTGGGCGCCTTCGGAGGAAGTTGCGGAAACTTGAAATTTTCACTCAGCGAGTCCGCAAAAGTTTCCGTCTTCGCGTCCACCGGCATCGCCGTAAATCAAGCTTCGCGAGAAAAAAAACGTCTCAACGATTTACGCATCCGTGCAACTTTACGATTTTTTTACGCCGCCGCCGCGGTTCCGCGTCGTCACCTCGAAGACGGGAAGAGAGTTGTCTCTCGCAATCGTTTTCTCCGGGAGGCACTGCAAATCGCGGGAGTGGCGAGCCCCCTTAACCCGCAACTCGCGACGTCCATCGGGCGAATTCGCGGCCGATTCGAGCTCCCGAATTGGCGCGCGCAACCCTGACAAAGTAGAGCGTTAAGTGCCGGCACGTAAATCGAGCGACCGCGGGGCATATTTGCATAATGGATCCCCGGGGGAAGTGGGTTTTCGTGTACGCGTTTTACCCGCGAATGCGCCGCCATTGCCCTCGGTCGGGCAGGCGCGGATTTCTAGGTGGGAACGCCAGAATCTACGGAAAGCATCTCGAGGATGCGGTTCGGGATGCTTCGAGATAACTTCGGGTCCCCTAGGGTGCCCGGACTCCGGGAAAAGTCAGGAATTCCGCAAGAATTCGAGGAGTCTCACCGTTGGGGGAACGGAACGGAAGGGATTCGGTGTTCCTAGGTCACGGACGCCTCTCGGGATTGACCGAAATTCCGCTTTTTTATCGGACGGGACTCGAACATCTTCCGGTCGAATTCGATGCGACAACATCCTCCGGATCATCCGGATAGGATCCGTACGGGATCCGCACAGGATAAACACGCGAAGCGCTTGCTTTCCTTAAGGTTTACGATTCGCACGCGCCTTCGTCAGCCTTCGGCTGCTTACTCTCTCCCGCCTTTATTTACCAGGACCGAGAACGTTATCCCCCGGGATAACAAATTTACTTTGCTAACTTCCTTCCGAGCGAAGTTTCGCGTGGAACCTCGGCTGCCGCGGATCGTCTCCTAGCCGACGTAGATCGGAGATCCGGCCGATGTTTCTGGGCGTCTTCCAGAGACTCGACGACGTCGGGACCGGTAGCGATGGCTGCGCGAAACTCGCATGATTTATCGTCCCGTCGTTACGTCGACGCCGGGATTTCGGCAGCCTCGCCGAAATTAGCCCGGTAATTCGGGTCGACCCGTTAGGCTTATTATCCACGGGACTTCGTCACACTCGCTCTCTCGAGTCGCGACACGAAGTTCGCCCGAGTTCCCGAGAACGCGGAGTCGGATTTGGCGATCCACCGATCCGCAAAAAACGCGTTTTCCGCGGCCAGAAGCCGCCAATTCGGTCCCCTGCCAGGATTCCGGAGCCTTTCAAAGCCCAGCCTACGGTACCCCACGTAATTGGTCCTCGAGAAAATTGGGAGACTTTAGTGGGCGATTCCAGGGAAATTCCATCGGGAATAGAGACGTCGAGGAGGCTCCTCTCCGGCAGGAGGGAGAGCCTCCGCAATCCTCGGCGGATAGGCAGAGAGTCCCCTCGCGGGTGCTCCGCTCGTATCGCCGGCCTACGCTTTCGGACCACGGTGGACGTGGCTACCCCAGCTTCCTTCTTTTCGTAACTTCGACCGATACGCGTTATCTCCCGACCAGCTATCGCGGACTCGTCGCGACGTTCGGGTTGCGAGACGCCGAGCGCGATGGCGCCACCGGTCCGGTGGGCGTTTTACCGACCCTCGGTAAGCTCCGAGTGGGAAGCTTTCGCGAGCTTTCACGGGGCTGAAGAAACCCCGATAGCGGCATCGACCAGCGGCCGCGGAGGAAGATCGAGCTGCCGAATCAGGGTCAATGGCTGCGCCACTCGAAATAGTCGGTGGGGTGGCGCGTGCTCGAAGAAGACGTCGCTCGTTTGGGGACGTCCGTCGTCGCCGGGGAAGACGGTCGCCGAGGGGACATCCAGACTTTGACGCAAAAGAATTAACCGCCAGATTTTTTCGGCCCGGTAGAGACGCGTCGCCGTTTTCGAGATTCCTCGAACTGGCGCCATGCTCGTCTTCGAAACCATTTTTTCCTCCTCCGTTGCCGACTTCTCGCCCACGCGAGAATTTCCGCGAGAAAGAACGGGTCGCGCCTTTGCCTCGTCGTTGGTCGACGACGACGACGCGCCGAATTCTTGGGAGTGGAACCACTCGATTTACCCTCCTGGGAACGTCCTTGGGAGACGAGCTCGTTCATTACTCATTTTGGAAACAGTGACGGATCGTAAAAAGCGCGGACAGCCTGGAGAGCTTTACCGCTCCGCCATTAATTACGTGGCATACTTGACTGGCGGCCAATTTGGATTTTGAATTTGGGTCGGCGCTGAGCAAACGACGTCGATTCACGAAATGACGAGAAACTTTCGAGTTGCCTCGTGGTTCGTCGATAGGAGCGATTCGGGAGAGAAGATGGAACTCGCTTCGTTTGCATCCCGTAATTCAGAATCCTGCCAAGACGGTTCGCCGTTCTTTTCTCGTTACATACGAGTACGACCGGGTTCAAACATACGGCCGTCTTTGTCCTGTCTTGTCCGAGGAATTTATTATTTAAAAGGAGTGCGAGCACTTGTTTGTGCCAATTCTTGAGACAAGAGCGCAGGAATAAACATAGCGCCCTCTTGTTTCCCGGACAGGCCCACCGTTAAAAGAAATACAATTTTATATTAATTTCGTTGGAAGTTTTATTCGGACATGGTATATTAATTTTATATCTTTGCAACAAATTTATAAAATGTGTTAAATTAGTACACGAGTGCATTCATTTTACCACGCAATTTCAAGAATTTATGACGAGGAGGGTAGAGATGGAACATCGAGCACCTGTTTGTTTTGATAAAAAACAACTTCGCTTCTAACGTGATATCGGAAATCGAACTCCAACCGAAAGTGCGTCGAAAAGAGACCTCGGCGTGATTTTGACATGCTCTCGAAGGAAGGGTAATGCTCCGTTTACCCTCATCCGACCCTATCTCTCGTGAATCACGGTCCGCGTTGCATCACGCCGTGTGCTCTTGCCAGATCCGTGCACACAGCTGCTAGAAAAATTAAGTGACGCATAGGACGCACGCTGGTCTAAGAGACCGACACCCGACATCTAGAAATACGTGCCACCCGGTCGCCTCTTCGTTTCTGGATCCGGAAATAGTTTGACAAAAATTCGAATGGATAACGCGATGCGCCGGTGCAAGCCGAACCGCGCGACTTTCCGTCCGTTCGACTTTGCGCTTCTTTTGTGCCGGTTTAATAACGCGATTAAATTCCGCGAGAGGCCACGGGAGCGATCTCTCATCCGAAATAAATCCGCGGGTTGATCGTCACTCGGGTTATAAATATCGTCTATTATTAAACACGGATCACATGAATTCGCGAGAACTCGAGGCTCTCCGCAACGATCACGAGGCCTCTCGCTCTCGAGCGTCTCTTATGATTTTCTCGAGATTCCAAGATCGCGAGTGATCTATAAGAGGGCCGTAATTCCGCTACCTCTTTGCGATCTTGCCAAGGGAAGTGTTACTCCGCGTTTCCGCGGATAATTTTAGACAGCCCGAAAAACATGCCGCGGGCGGACACGAGCCGCTCCTGCGAGGACATATTTCCGCTCGAGTCCTGATCGACTTAAATTCATTTAACGCCAACCGTGGATCCATCGAGGGTACTTTAAGGACTTTGGAAAATAAGGCCCAGGATTTTGATTCCATCGACGAGGGCCACGGCTCGAAATCCGTTTCAAAGTGAGACAACCTGGAGATTATCAAACGGCTGGATTTTATTATTCGATTACGTTTCGAGATGATACCTGCCGATCCTGGCTCTCGTCCAAATCCATTTCCTCGCCGGTGGTGGGAGCCACCCACCGAGAGCCACTCGAAGAGCCCCTGAATTTAGAAAAAAGAAACTAAAAATAATGATACCTTGACATAAGGCTACACGACGAGCCAATATAGGTCTCCGCGATATAACCCAAGCATTTGGATCCGGTCGAGCGCGTTCCAAGTTGTCAAAGACACGACGAAGGAGGCGGGTGCTCGATATCGACGGTTGCTTAATAAGATCCTTTGGTCTCGATCCTTGGACGCGACGTCGAGTCGTCGAGGACGAGTCGCGTCGGTGGAATCGAATGAACTACGCGTACGCGAGAAAACCGACGGGCTGTTCGAAATAATCCGAGTCGCTCTATAAATACAATGTGACATTCAGTACTGTGTGGCCCGCCGCGATGTTCAGATGGCGATCTTACCCACTCGTCCTCCGAACATCATCTGAACAACGACCGACTCCGAGGGCGTTCGAATCGGCGAACGCGAGGATCGGGGTGCACCTTCCGACGCTGCCAAGGAACAACCTTCTACCTCCTCTATCGACAGCCACGGTCATCAAATCCGTATCAATGGACGTGTCGGTGAACGTCGGAGAAGACGCCGCTCGACGTCGCGACCCTCGCGAAACGGCGTCGAGGTTCGACGTCGCGTAGAACTCGGAAATTCGGAGCCACCGATGGACTTCCACGAGTCGTGGGGAATTAATAAATCGGCGAGGTTTACAAACTGTGGAGACGCGCTAAGTGCTCGTCGCGTATGCGACATGTCGAAGACTGTCGGATCGCCGGAAGTCGCTGCAGACTCGCGGAGGATTCTTGGTGCCGAGTGCGGAAAATCGAAGCAACGCTGCCGAGGGGTTATTCGCTCAGAAAATCATGGATTTTAATGCTCGGTACCACGTGGCAATCATCTAGAAATCGCAAGCAGACGATCCTGGAGATCGGTGAAATTCACCGAAACGTCACAATTTTAAGGGGTGATTTTAAACGTCGTCACCTGTTGGCCGAATCGCGTTGTTGTTTATCGTAAGAAATAAAAGATCGGTTCTCAAAGAAGGAAACAGTTTTCACCGATTTCCTAGTGAATACCCCCTCGGACGCCGCGATTAAGTGGCAATCTCTTGGATTAAATCTTTGATAAGGGGCCTCGCGGTCGGCGGGTTAAAAAATGCGAGAAGTGTGCTCCCCGTAGAAAAGTGGACGCGCCGGTTGGTATGACGTAATTTTCGAGCGAGGGGAAAATCAATCGGTCGGAATGGAGAGGCTGAACGTGGCGGAGGCGATGCGCCGCAAAGACAAAAGACGACGCCGGGGGTGGACGGTGGTCGTCGGCCACGAGGTCCGGTAAGTCTCCCCGTTTCCCATTTTTCTCCGCCCTTGGGTCCCCTTCTCGACTACTGATAAAATCCTAATTAAGAAAATATTTTACGCGGGAAACCGGAGGTCGATCTTAATATTCCTCGCGTTGTTTACGCGGAGGATATCCCATTATGACATTAAAATCCTGCTTTAAACCAACACACGGGATCACGCGGTGGCGTGAGGGAAATGCTATCCACGGAATTCCGATAATTAAAGAAGAGTACGGCAATTCTCGTTTTCTGAGGTTTTGGGTGACGTTCTTTCCGCGGAAAATCCGACCTCGGTATCGGGAAGGACCTCGTGGGGGTAATTTTCTCAAAGGACGTTATCATCCACGGTAAAGCAGCGAAAATCAAGGATTCCCCGAGGGTGAGCGCCGAAAGGAAGATGTCGCGTGTCGGTAATCGCGACGGAATACTCGCGGGTCGGTAAAAGCGGTTTCCTTCGCCCGTCGGGGAAGATGCTGCCATCTTATCCGCCGAAGTGGAAACTCGAATGACGGCTCGATACCGCGCATACTTGGCGGATGAAAGCATCTCGACAAAAAGGAAAACGAATGCTAAGGTTCAGAGATGAGTTGCTCGTGAACAATCTCCCAACTCATCTTTGTATGGTTTTACGGAACCTCGTTACATCGCAATGGATACATATATGTATTTATACCTGTACTCTATATCTGGCCAGAATCATTATCGTATCGTTGCGACTTGAGCGGTTTTCCGGGAATTCGTTGTTCGCCGTCAAAAAGGAGGTCATCCAAATGATTTCCTCGATAATCCAAACGAGTGGATTGAAACGCGTTAAATCCCTCTGATTAATTCCAGCTTATCGAAGAGCAGGTTCCATAAAGTATCTTCTTCCCCAAGCCGCTATTATTCCGGCGGGTCGGTTGGAGTATCGACCCGAGTTTATTGGTTTACGGCACAGCTTGCATTACTTCGGGTGCTTTCAGAGCAGTATCGAATGTTTCACCTGGCTCGTTCTTTTTTTTTTTTTTTCGTTCCCGCGGCGTAAATACATCGAACCCACCTGGATATCGATACGAATCTCGAGGTACGATCCGATTCGCGATCGTATATCTCGGATTTATGCCAGACATCGTACGCGCTCGTTACGTCACAGCTGGCGACGAAGTTTCGCCGGACATGCCGTAAAGTCTGCAAACCTGCACCTGGAGAATCTGGGTGATGCACTTTCGTTGGCCCAGCGAACTTAAGACCCTTGAAACTTTTCCTTCCGAAGTTCGATCGCATTGGCTCGTTTAATTCGATCTGGACTTCGGTTAAAAATTCGGCCTATTATTGTCGAACGACGAGGGCGATCGATATCGCCGATCGATCATAACCTATACACCCGGAATCGAGATCGAGTCTCTGATCGGCAGCAAAGGGCAATACACTAAACGAGGCAGGAAATTGGAGATTCCTCGCGATAATTCCTTGACTTTATCCATCGAATGAAAATTTTAGAAGCCTATCTCAAGCAGCTCGTATCGAAGCTATCGATTGACGCGGCCTCTCCCGAGGTGGAGTTACAAAACGTCCATTTCGCGTGGATACTCCTAAGGGTGCGCTTTTTTAAGTTCACACACGGTCGCCTCGACCTTTTTTACGATCGCGATTGGCTCGATATTTTCACTCGGTAAGTTTTGAAAAGGAGGGGTTCATCTTCCCAGAATATTTTAATTACGGTTCAATGAAGTCCACTGCCAGCGGCGCAGTTATTCCCATTAGAGACGTGTAAGCGGTAATTACTTTTGGGATTAAGCGCGCAACTGCAATTTGAGATTTGTTACCAAAAACTCTTTCAATTACCCACTGCCCCTGCGTTTCGTGAAATCGTTGTATAAATAAATGCGTGGAGTCGTGTTTAACTCGAATTGTAATTGTCGACAAATGTAATCAACGCCCGCGGTTTCCGTGTACTTGCAGTCACTTGTGAATGGAGGTGCATCAATAGTTGTTAACGTGTCAATTTTCAATGGAGCCCCTAAGTCGCCATTTAATTGGGGTTTTAATGATAAAATTGAGCGCGTTTCCCTCCTGACAAGCGTTCACCCTGAATTATGGCTATTATTCTACGGCCGACTATTCGAGAGGAAACGCAAGTATACGTCTGTCGAACGTCGGCGTAAACGCGAGCACTTCCCATTGGTTGCCGTTCCACTTCCGACCGATGAATAAATGGTGCAGTCGATACGATCGCTACGAATATAAGTGGTTTTACAATGCAGAAATGAAATAAAGGGGGTCCCTGCTCCGGACGAACCACGACCGATGATGAGGAGGTCCATCAATTTTCTCTGTAACCTAATAGCGCACTTTTAACCGTGCACTACCCAATTAACCGATGTAATTCGACTAGCCGATGATGTTAGCCGCTAATCACCTTAACAGCGAGTACGAAGCTGATGAGATTGCCCGTGTTGGATAATTGCATCGAGTATCTCATTTAATGTACCGGGTATGCACCGCGACGCGACGAATTGCATCGAGTCCGTGATTTTTTTTTTTACCCTGGCCGGTGCAACGATATATGCCACCGTCGACTCTTTAGAGACGTAATTTAATCCACTTTGGTTTAAATCAGAGTGGCATAAGCCCTCTTCTCTACCGAATTGCCCTCTACGAAGTTTTTACCCTGTTCTTGCACAGACGCATCCGCGTCGCCGCGGGGTAAAGGTGCGTTTATAAAATCGCAAGGGCTGCATAATTACGCCCGTGACTTGAGAAGAATCTCCATGCTTTCGAGAGCTTAATGTAGATGTGCAACACGATTCGATAACCAAATTCCTTAAACCATTCGCAGCGAATTCTCGAGGATAAAAATATGCATCGGGAGCACTTTCGCGCGGAACTCGGGAAATGTGAAAAAAGAAGTCGCGCCAATTTTACGGTCAACGAGAACGAACGCATTCGAAATCGCGAGTATGCAGCCTTCAAAAGTTAAAAGTAATCGCCACATGAATAGGAGAGAGACTTATATTTCTCTGTAAAAGTTCGTTAAAATTCATGAAGTCGTTCGGCGTTCTTTCCGGAGTCCCGGTCTGAGTTCCTCCCCGGGGAGAGGCATACATTATTAAAAACTTAATTTGCGTCTGCCGGCGATAAGCTTCGAGGTAGTTTCTGGCGAGTTCAACTTGGCGACGTCGGCTACGCGCTCGAGGTTCAAATCCCCGGATAGATTTCCGAGGGGCAAAGTCGAAAACGGTTGATCCGCGAAATCGCCGTTTGGTTACAAAATCGAAACCCTCGATGGAGGACCGCCAAGCCGAAAATTCACCGATCGGTTTCCACAAGACCGAGGGCGCGACCAGAGGTTTCGTTTCGCGAAGTCGTCGCAAAAGTGGAGTAGCGCCGTGGAGGAGCGTCACCGTGGTCGCGGTCGATCCGGCCTTGCGGATCCTGGCACCGCGTGTCAACCCCGGCGCGACCCGGCCGAGGGAGCATGCTCGCCGCTGCGGCCTCCTCCGGCCGCTGCGGCCGCTTCGCCGCTACGGCGCGACGCGAGGCGGCCCGTGAGCCGCCGCGACGCTCAGTCAGGCACCACGCGCCACTCCGCGAGCCTCGCCGGCTCTTCCGGCCTGCGGTTCCTCCGTTTCGCCTTCCCGACCCCCTCCGACCCCCGGCGACCCCCGCGACCAAAGAGCGAGGGATGAAAAGCCGTAGTGCATCGAGACCGCGCTTCTCCCAAGAGGACGAGCAGGAAAGACGAAAAGCGACGCAGCCTCAGGTGAGCGAGAGGTCACGAGAAGTGCACCTGGGACCGACAGGGCATGCACTCGAGGCGTATCGCGGGTGTGCGTTGCAAGACGTTCAATCGGACGACTCGAGTGCGGGGGATCGCGAATCTCGCGTTCTGTGATAAGGCCTCGCACGGTGGGGTGCAAAGATTGGCATCCAGAGGAGAGGAGAGGGCGAAATTGAGATTTTAGGCCACGCGCCATTTTTTTTTAAGGGGCGCTTCCATTTTCTCCGGCGTTCCCGGGGAAGTCGCGTTGGAAAGGTCGGAGAGCTAGATTTTAGGAACGACGGGACGGGGAGGGGAAAACCGGGTGTAATTATTGTGTCTGTGGGCGTTACTTCGGGGTTACGCTACTCTCGGAGGTGTAAACATTTCTCGGGCCCCGCTCGTTTGCACGGAACGTGCTTTCCCGTTCGCCTTCTTGTTTAGGATTATCGCGCGTTGGTAACGCCGAGCTCTTTCGAAAGAAAATGTAATTTAATGGAGGTTATGACGGTGCTCGTTAGCGGGAGTAGCTCAAATGTGCGGGATACGAGAGCGGAGGATGTTCCAGAAGGGTGGTTCTTGATCTCATCGACATAACGAAGATTCGCGCTAATTGGGGGGAAATTGCTGAAACGAGGGTAGTCGTCGAAATCGGAAAGTTTGGTTTATCTTGAATTCGGTATCAATGGGTAGAGGATGCCAATCGACCCCGAACACCGTTCGGATCTTTATCACAGAAAATGTTCCCATATTTGAGGGTCGTAGGAATTGTATCGCCGATCCGCAATGGTCGGGTAAATGTCGCTTTTCAAATCAATTTAAATGTCCTCGTAATTGAAAGTATTTAAGTACGAATGGGTGCACCGTGAATTAACGACCATTTCCGATCGAGTCGAGCTTGCGGGTCGTTGAGGAAATTTCTATCGAGAAGCTTTTTCGGTATCCTGGCTCGATGAAAACATGTACCTTGGAGCACGCTCGTGTTACTCGACGAGATAATGAAAATTCCTTAACGACCAGACAAGAGCGATAGTCGCATATTTGAAGTACCTACGGTGGAGGACTTTTAACGCTTGGAGTCACCGGCTGTGCTTCGATTTTTTTGGCGCCATTCTTCCCGCGGGAAAAAACGTTATCCGCAAGTGCGTTTTTAATCAGCGAAATGTGCACCTCTCTCCGAGCCCGGACAAATAGAAATCAAAAGATACTTTCGTACACACGCGTCCCATTTTATTTCACTCGGAACGCGGTTGGAGTTTTTGACTCGTGTCTTTTTCATTTTTCTTTCCCTCCGCGTTTTTCGCCGAGAAGAAGAATTCCTAATTTTTGTATCACTTCCATACCGTCGTCGTTTCATGGACCGAGCTCGCGAATCCATCCAGAAGGATTTGTTGCGTAAAACCTTCGGCAAATGCGGAAGCAATTTTGGTCGTAGTCAGAAGCCGAACCGTTGGAGTAATATCGCGCTAATCGAAAGGCAGACTCTTTACGCAGCTCGTTACGTAAATTCAGTTCTCGATTCCCCTTTCCTCGTCACTCTCTTAAGTGGAGAAAAGACCGTGAGGTGAACTCGTTCAATTTCACACCAATTGTACAAATACCGTGACGTCACGATTCGCTGCTGTAATACTTAAAAAAAGAGCGTACGGTAATATCGAAAATCCGAGACGCTGTCATCGGTTTTACTAACCATAAAATGGAGGTATCAGCTTCCCGTAATTGAATATTATTTTTTAACGAGCAACAAGCATCGCGAAATTTCCCAAAGCGCCGTTACCGCGAGGGGACCGGATTTTGATTTTAACTCGAAACGAATAATTCCATAATTGGCAATTAGCGTGGAGAGGGACGACACAAACGCCGATCCAATTATGAAGCGTTATCTTGGACCATTTTAAAGGACCGTGCGTCTCCTCGGTTTATTCTGCCGGGAATATGCTCTCCGGGTTCAACCATTTTACTCGGTTTGTGGACCTTTCGAGGATTGGGTTGCATCGTGCCGGGAAATCGATATTAAACGGCTCTTTCGATCGTTAGGGGATATTCGAGGTACGCGGAATGCGCGATAAGGACGGGCAGGGAAGCCCTTCCTGGGGTTCTCGGTTCCGCGGACCTTTTGCGAGGTATATATATAACGTTTTAGATAATTACAAAGTGCATTAGGAAATTAAAGTTAGTGCAATTCTCGATGCTCTCTGTACACCTCGGGGTATCGGGAAGCGATATCGCCCCCGATTGCGCCTAGCTTTTCCCTATTCACCGATTATACGCCGATACCGACCAGAAATTGAATCCCACACGGGAGAAAGGTTAAACTTCGCCCAAATACCCATCATCGTCTACCGTAAGCGACAAGAGAGTGACACGGACCCTAGAACTCGACATGTTAAAAATGCCAAAAAGGGAAAAGAACTAAATAATCCAAAACTTCCCGACATATCGCGCCGTCGTCGTCGTTTTATTTAAATCCCGACGAGCCGCGAGCTTGCAGTCGGTGAAACTCGTTGCTTCAAAAGTTCGGCCATGTAATAACGAGTCATTTTTAACGCGCAGAAAGTCTCACGCGTTATCGCGAATAAATCGCACCTTTCTCCCTCTGATCGACGGCAACGTTCAATCCGTTCAGCCCGAGAGGCACGGGAGGAAGGGGTAAAAGTTCGCATGAATAATACATGCGACTTGTCTTCCCTTCCGAGACCTTCGGGTCTCCCGCGAGCGGAGCTCCTCGACCGCACTCGTCGGTAAGACGTCGCGAGCGATTCCGCGACCTGGACCGACCTTGCGTCGTTACCTCGGCCCATTGTCATCGCGACATTTTTACATTTTTGCGAGAGATCCGGCCTCGAATATCGAGGAAACGAGGGATCCCGATGCGGTATAATGGGACAGCCATCGGGCGAAACGCGCCCCGTCGAATACCCATCGCGCGCCGAAGAATCGCAATGGAGGAAATTGGCTTTACGCGAGTTTCCACGCGAATGTAACGACCTACGGATTTCCCTCTCTCGTCGCTCCACTTCCACTCCGATCGCCGATTTTTCCACTTTTGAATCGCCATCGTCGATCACGGTGGGGCGGAAGAAGGCGATTTTGAAAATCGACGAAGCCTGGCTAGGAGGAGCTTCCCTTCTTGTGCTCGGGTCCCGAGGTGTACCGACGTCGCGTTCACCCAACACGATTTTCACTTTTGACCTATCTGCGATGAATGTCTACGGTATTCCCGCACCGAATACCAGGCAATGGCACTAAGGACTAATATTTATCGTTGACCTTCCGTGCCTAGAGCGCGCCATTACGCGTCCGAAACAAATCTATGCGGATGCACGCGAATGCTAGGAATGATCGATGGCGGCACGGAGAATCGTCGTCCACTTTTACCAGGTTAGACCCGTTCGCGTTCGTCGTATCGCGATGTACTTCTTTCAACGCTCGATTTTAGATCGTTAATCGCGACATCGGAATATCGGCCCCGTCAACGTCGACGGAAATCCTGAGGGCGCGTCGGGGAGCACTTGACGTATGACCATAACCGGAGACTTTGGAAATCGCGGATCGCGGAGTCGCAATGGCGAGGCTGTAACGCGAGAAATTCGCAATCCATTATTCGCACGTGTGGGGATGCCTGCAACGAGTCGACGTAAATGCATCGACCGATCGATGCAGAGTTCCACGGCGGTCCGGGAAATTACTTCGTCATGCACTTTGGTCGAAACTCGAGTTAAGCACACCTCGACTAAAACCGAATAAAGTACACTCGGGTTCGCTACCGCGAGGTAATCGATCGATCGATCGATCGATGTCCGTAACGAATAATCGAGCTCTCGAACGGTTGACGTTCAAAGGAAGGGCGCCTGTCGCGAGCACGGAGAAAAATTCCCCTTTGTCGGCCGATCGAGCTGCCCGCTAAATTTTCGACCTTCGGTTCTCGCCGTCCTCGGCATTCATATCACAAATATTATTTCGCCCGTCCTTGTCGGGTGTATGCATGCATGCTAATAAGTTTGCGCAGTTGCAGCTTAATTAACCTTCAATTACCGATCCATGATAGCTCCTCACGGGCTCCGGATTTTGGGCGGCCGAATATATACTTGGGCGTTATTGTCAGAATTTTTGCCGGACGCCAGCCGCTACCGAAACGCGCACGTGCTTAAACCACGGTAAATTTCATTCCATCCCCGGTGCAGCCATCGATGCACGTCGTTATTGCTGCCACATTTGTCGGATGAAACGGTGCATCGCCGGGTGGCCGAGTCGGGCGAAACGCGACTCGTCGATTATTGTTCGTACAGCATTTCACAATGAAGACGACCGTGCTCGCATAAAATGTAAAAAATTGGAAGAAGGTACTATCCATCGCGGGTCGCAAGATTCCCCCCGAATATCGAATGTTGGCAGTTGGCAGCTGGCATGCACTTGCGTCCGCACTGCATCTGGGCCGGCAGCTCGGGTTGAATTAGCCGCTGAAACGTCGTATGTCGTCGCAAAGTACGACTCGAAATGAGAAGTTTGAACGAGCTCTTGAGTTGAACTTTCCGAAGGGTGTATTCGCGGATTTCCGTCTACTCGGTAGCTCCCGCCCGACGGACGTTCCCGTTGATCCTCCGGGAAAGCGCGAGCATTTTCTCCCGGGAGGAGGGCCGGAGGCCAATGGAATAACCCGACGTGAATGAATGACGCATGAGTACTCCGAATCCCAAAAGAAGCTTCCAGGTCGTTCGAAGATGTTTGTCGCATTCGTTTTGCGTGGACTTGCACGTACGCGCTGCATCTATCGATCGGCCGAGATGCAACGCGAGCGATCGAACGATGCGTCGAAGCGATCCGACTCTCGAACGGAATATTTGTCGCGATCGCGGCGTCTTTCCCTAGATGGTCCAGAAGGAAAGAAGGTAGAGGAAGAATTCTCGAGAGGGAGGCTGAACGTCGGAGAGGGGTGCGATTTAATTGGGATGTTTCTCTTTTTGCAACTCGAGCTGGCGCACTCGCCGTGATGAATTATTCAC